TCCCTAAGGAGAAGACTGAGGAAACTTCCAACAAATCCGGCTCCTAGAATCAGCTCATTAGTCTCACAATCAAGGATGACATTTGTCATCTTTTTTATTAAGGTAATGAAACGTGGTACTATTTTTGGGCAGGATGATCTACAGATACAAAATAATTATTCCCCGTCCCATGAAGTTACCTATGGGCATTCCTTTGCAAATCTGTAGGAAGTGGCCTAGATCTCCTTGGACATGAACAGCTCAGCCTACATAATGTCTAGCTACCGCTGAACAGGGAGATCTGCTCTCCCCCTGACCCTCTTCCTACTCCCCACTCCTGGCTGTGTAGCCACACCTCCTCCCTCATGCCTGCTTGTGTGCTTCTTGCACTTCTTGGGAGCAGATCCAATGTGGTGATCTGGCAGGTAGGTTAGTTTTCTGATCTGCTGACTGCCAGAACCCATGGAAGATAGGTGGTGGGAATGTGGAGCCAGGAGCAAGAAGAGGAGGTGGTGGAGAAGAACCAAGATCTCCCATTTTGGCAGCAGTAAGCTGTTGGGTCAGCTGGAACTGTCTTCTGAAACTGGACCCAAAATTGTCTCTCTTCCCCCAATTTTTTGCTAGCTTTGTTCTGTTTCTTTGTCGGGATACTCTATGCAAAAGGATCATTTTTTTCAGTTTTCCAGACAATAAAAACTACAAAATATGCAATAGAAAACTGTCAGGTAGACAAGTTTTAGCCAACCCTGCATTTAAAGTTTCCCTTTTCCTGTCCAAGATAAGTGTATAATTGTTAAGTCTAAATGAAAACGTGGTGGGTTTTCAGGATCAAAGACAGGCTATCTCAGCAGCCTTTGGGGCAGGCAAACAGATGATAGAAAACCAGCACACACATGCACTCAAGGAAACATACTGTACTCTATTCTTAGTGATGCTTACAAATGCAAGATAAGCCCTCAGCGGGAGTGGTGCAGCCAGACAGGTGATTATGTGTGTATTTGGGTGAAAGTGCATATGAGCAAGTGTTGCATACTGCAAGATGAACACATAACTTAGGAGTAAAAGTGTAAAATGAAACTGTGAGCATGGTGTTGCTTACACAAAACCAACCAAATGTAGTTATTTAAAGCACTCTTGTACTTGACCAAACAGCGCCTGTGTCTAAACTCAAATACTTATCAGAGCTGCTTGATTTAAATTCCTTACGAAGTTCCTGTTGCCTGTCAAACATTGCCCAGCCTCACGCATTGCCTCATAGCCCCCGTTCCTGTGGCCTGTTTATTGCACATCTGTCCCTCTCTGGCAGGGACCTCCTCGTGCAGTGTGGGCTGAAGTCATCTGAGCAGTGCCTTGGTGAGCCATACTGGCAGTGCCGGCGGTGGGGATGGAAACCCTGTGTCCCCTTACTCTCCCCAGGCAAGTGCACGCTGGCTAGGGGAGGGAGAGGAGGAGGTAAAAGAGTTTTTTCCTTCTCCTTGTTACTGTCCCTTGGTTGCTTGTGATCTGCGTTTCTCCTTTGTGAGGTCAGGAGCCTCTGCCCCGCTGTGTCCTACGTCTGCTGGCACCCAGGGAGCTGGCTGCTGGCACATGCTGGCACTGGGCTTGCACCCACCAGCTTCAGTCATGAGCAGTTTGTGGGAGATGAGGCCGTGATGTAAATCCTGGTCCATAGGTGGGGTGATTTATGGAAAAAGAAACAGGACCTTGAGCTATATTTTAGCTAACGTGGTAAATTTTTATATCCAGTAGTGTCCTCTGCCTCTAACCCCAGTAGCTGGCTGAGCAAATACCTAACTAACACTTACTTTTGGTTAATGGGAACATATTTTTTAAAGTGAGGACTTCTGAAGTTTGGCTTTTGATAGGCCTTTTAATTCTCAAGCTGACAGCCATGAAACAAAACACAAGATCTCAGCAGTGTGGCACTTCAGGACAGACCTTTGGCAGCTTCTCATGGCCATGCAGAACACTAGGAAGAGCAAGTCGAGAGCTGGGATGGGCACCGTCCACCTGCAGGCTCTCCAGACACCAACAGCCCTGCAAGGACAAACTGCTGGGGCTCTGGCTGCCTGACAGCTCCAACCACCCGAAAACCCAGCTCTTCCCTCTGTTCTGCTGCAGTTTCAGAGAGCCTATAGCTGTTCAGTGGTGAGCTCTTTCTTTTGAGGATGGCTGCAACAGAGCTGCCCTTCAAAGGCTCCGTAAGTTACAAGTGATGAGAATGGACCTGTCTCCTGAAGAAACCGCGAGCTGTGCTCGAGAGGATCACGGGGCCTTCAGCTTCCTTGGGACTGGGAGAGCTCTTCGAAGCCTCCACCTTGCTACGTCCCTGCCTGCAAACACCTGCCTGAGGGCAGCCCTGAGGAAGCGAATGTCCCTGAGCTTCCTTGGTCTTCCTGGGTGTGCCTGAAGGAAGGTGTCACAGCCCTAGTGCTTTGGATAGTCGTCGTTGGAAGCATAATAACGGGAATGTATAACGGCACTACTGAAGTCTATAAGAGTTTTATTGGAAGCAGAGCAATTCCAAGCTCATTTCCCTCCCGGTCGAAGGCAACAGGTTGTGCCCATTTCAGCACTGTTTGGCAGAATGATTAAAGTATCTCTGTCTGGGTTTGAGCATTAACTTACTTAGAGCTGATCTTGCCTCTGGCAACCAAAAGCAGTTTCAATGGCATGTTTTGATATACATGCTGTCTGCCTGTCTTACAAGTCAGGGGTGTCTGAAATCTTCCTTGTCTGCTAATTGTTTCTTGATGTTAGATTGTCACCAAAATCTGGTATATCTTCCAAAAGTCCCTAATTTCTTGCAGAAAATGTGCCTAGTCATTCAGGGTGTCTTCAGGCTTCAGTTGACGAAACAGCAATAACAAAAGAGCACCTTTTTTTTTTTTTAAAGCAGAAATTGCCATTGTATATATGGTGCAGTTCTCTGTAGTAGGTGTAACTTGAATGACATTTAATGTCTCTGCAGACTTTTGGATACCTCTTTATCACCAGTCTTTACAAGAATCAACACCTTTCCCGATTCACACTTCTGCTACATAGTTGAGTAAATAATTAGGAAACTTGTTAGATGAGCCAGTGATTTTGATAGAATAGTTCTTATAATTCAACATCTTCTTTCCTTCTGCTTAGGGAAATATGAAGCATGTTTCTCTTAGAGATTTTTCTTTCTTTTGGAAAAGACAAAATGAAAGATATGGTTCAACAGAAATTTGCTTGCCTTTTTATCAGGGTTTGTATATGAGTTTCATCTCACAAAGGAGGTTTTACATGGTGAACAGCTATACATTTTGAAGCTGCAAGACAAATCAAAACCAGCTTTCACTCGTCTTCCAAAGGTCTCACTTCAGGAAGATTGTCACTTTAAGAAAATTTCTTAACATGTTGGAGTGCATAACTTTCAGAGTCATTAACTTCTGAAGGATGATAGCACCTACAGGTCCATAAATTTTTTTCTTATTCTGAGCAATAAATAATCAACCTTTTTCACAGTGGTAGGGTTCAAAAGTTCATTGGCACTCTAAGGTGCAAAGAACCCAGGGCACATAACAATGACAGTTTCTAGAGAAATGTAATCAAGAGACCCTTGGCGTTAATGTATTGCTATAATATAGAAATACATTAACCATATAGTTACATAATT